TTTTTGAGACCCAGGCTGGAGTGCAATGGCACGATCTCGGTTCACTGCAAGCTCCGCCTCCTGGGTTCAAGCAATTCTCCTGCCTTAGGCTTCTGAGTAGTTGGGACTATAGGCCCAGCTAATGTTTTTGTAATTTTTTTTTTTGAGACGGAGTCTCGCTCTGTCGCCCGGGCTGGAGTGCGGTGGCCGGATCTCAGCTCACTGAAAGCTCCGCCTCCCGGGTTCACGCCATTCTCCTGCCTCAGCCTCCCGAGTAGCTGGGACTACAGGCGCCGCCACCACGCCCAGCTAATTTTTTGTATTCTTTAGTAGAGACGGGGTTTCACCATGTTAGCCAGGATGGTCTCGATCTCCTGACCTCATAACCTGCTCACCTCAGCCTCCCAAAGTGCTGGGATTACAGGCGTGAGCCGCCATGCCCGGCCATGTTTTTGTATTTTTAGGAGAGATGGCATTTCACCGTGCTGGCCAGTTCGAGACTAGTCTTGAACTCCTAACCTCAGGTGATCCACCCGCCTCAGCCTCCCAAAGTGCTGGGATTACAGGTGTGAGCCACCGCATCTGGCCTCTTGGTCATCTTTTATGTGTAAATTCATCCTCTGCTATTTCTGTTGCTCAGGGGTGGAAAGGAGAGGGGAACCCAATAAAGTTACATCCACACTGTTGACAGGAGTTCGGCTTCCAGGCAGCGCACGTCTGTGACCTCAGGGCCATGTCCCGAATTCCAGAATGGGGCTCTGACCGCCGAGACCCGATGCCACTGGGTCCCTGTTTGCTGCTTGACTCTCTTCGGAGCCCAGTGTTGACTCCCGCTCTTTGTGGCTGCCCCGGCTACCGGGCCATGTGTGTTCCCCACCCACGAGGAGCTGACCATGCATCTGGCTGAGCTCACATCCGCTCTGCTGGGGAAGAGCTGAGGGCGGGGGTCGGTCCCTGACCAGCCAGCATCCCTGCAGTAGGAGGCGGGTGTTGCCCACGCCAGTGCCTGTGGTCTGAGGGGGCTGGCCCTTGATAGACAGGTGGGGGAGTTCCCCTCCCACACCTCTGGGCACCAGGGCAGAGTGCACCGTGTGTGCTGCGTTTGTGGTTGGGTTCAGGTACTGCCTGGTAGGCCTGTCTGCTCTGAGCCTCCCGGGAGCCTGAGCAGCCTGAGGGGCTGCTGTACAGCTGCGTTGGGGCCCCCCGGGGGTGTGTTTGTGCTCCCATCCTGGGTGCTCCGAGTTGGTCTGAGGTTAGAGAAGTGCAGTGAACAGTGTGTGCGCAGCGTGGGGCTGGGGCCTGCTTCCCAGAGCATCTCGGGGCCCCCTGAGACGTGCCCTCCGGGGAGGTGATGGCGCCTTCCAGAAATGCTGCCGCCTTCCAGAAATGCTGCCGCCCACACGGAGGAGACTGGCCTGTGCCGGAAGCTGGAGGCGGTGGGGTCCCGTTGGCACTTGGGGGATGAGAGTGTCCCAGAGAAACAGCCCAGGGGGCGGCGTGGAGTCGTGTAGAGTCTGTGGGATCTGCCCACCCTGCTGTGGACCTGCCAAGCTCAGCATCTGCGGATCCGACCCAGGAAAAGAGTTGGTGCTGGGGGGTGGGGGCCGGTGTTGGGGGGAGTCTGTTGGGGCAGCTGGTGCTGGGGGAGTCGGTGTTGGAGGGGGTCAGTGTTGGGAGGGGCCGGTGCTTGGGGGGTCGGTGCTGGATTTTCAAGAGTCCAGAGACCATCTAGGGCAGAGTGTTCCCCTCAGAGGACTTCAGTCTTTTCTTAGTCCTTCACCTGATTGGATGAGGCCCACTCATGGCAGTCAGCTGATTTACTCAGAGCTGACTGATTTAAACGTTAATCTCATCTAAAGAAGTAACTATACAGAAACCTCCAGAGTAATGGTTGACTGAAATCTGGGCACTATGGCTCAGCCAGGCTGGCACGTAACATTACCCATCGCATGTCAGTTGGAAGCTTGGCCTTTGGAATTAACTCATGAGAAACTGTGGTGCTTCTCTCCTATGGTACAGGTGCAGCCCTGCTCCTTTCTGTGTGGAAACGGTCCAGGAGCATCTCATGTGGGTGGTGGGCGAGGGCAGGGCCTCTGCGTGAGGGAGAGCAGCGGCAGCCACTCCTTCGCAGAGCCAGCAGGGCTGTCTGCTCCAACCATTACTGGACTCAGCCTTTCTCCCCCAGCAGTGACATCAAAATTGCCTGTTTATAGGATATAACAAAGATGATGCCAGCCGTTAATAAAAACGTCCCCTAATCAGGCAGTTAACCTGCTGCAGTTTTTTGGGATCCCAAGGGCCCAGCCCAGGCTCCTGTGCCCTTGGCCACCGTGGGCCAGTCCCTGGGGGCTTGTGGGAGCCTCAGCGGGCCTGGGAGTGCCAGGACCCTTAGAGGGCGAGGGTTCATCTGAGACCATGGGGTTCTGACTCCTTCGTGTCATTTCAGCAGCAGCGAGTCCTTTGCACATGTTGGCAACACACGCATCCGCCTCGGCCTCCCTGCCCACAAAGCGGCACAGCGGTGACCCGTCGGAGCAGCCCGAGCTGAAGCGGGTCAAGACAGAAGACGGCGAGAGCATTGTCATTGCCCTGAGTGTGGACGCACCCCCGGCAGCCGTAAGGGAAAAGGGTGTCCAGAACTAGCGGCTGGGAGAGCTTTTCTTTAACAATATCAACTTTGTGGTGCCAAAAGGAGACGTGGCCTCCCGCCAGCACTCGGGGTGCAGGGCCCTGTGGTTGGACTTCACCTCCCAGCACTGAAAACACAAAACCCAGGTGGCCTTAACACTCCTTAATGTAAAGACAGAAGTCACACTTGAGCAAAATCCACACACAACAAAACCTGATTTGGGAGAGTCGCCACTGAGTACCTGCTGGGCTGCCTGTGGGCTCCGCTCTTCCCTACAAGTGAAACTGTCCTCCCACGAGGACCGGGCAGCACTGTGTGAGGACGGCATCGTCAGCACCTGCTGTGAGTGGCTCTCCCAGGACTGGGCCCTCAGGATCCAGCAGGCAGCGGAGACGTGTGGAATTAGAGTATTTTGAGATGTCCTTTCTTTACAAAATAACGGGGTCTTGGGCATTTCACATCACTCCATTTCTCCTCAGACTTTCGGAATCACACAGGCCCTTTCCGTGGATTTCATTTGGGGAAAAACAGCGTAGTTTTGTTTTTGTTTTCAGCCTATGGAATGATTTCCTTTTGTCTGTCTTGTTAAAGTTCAGATGAAGCTACTTTGGTATCTGCACATTTCCGTGTGACAGCAGCTGCCTGATGAATTTTATCCACCTCCATTTCAGCGTGTGGCTCGCATGGACAGGTGGACGGACATTGTGGCCACATGGAACCCTGAGAACCCAGGGACGAGCTGGTGCCGGGAAGGAACTGCCGGGACTCACCGAGCTGCACTTAACTGTTCTCTTTCTGGCGACTTTTTGTTGTTTGTTTCTTTGTGTTGACTTTGTCCCTGGCAAAATTTTCCACTCTAAGTAAAATAAGTCTCCTAAGTATTGTGTATGTTTAAAACGACAGAACCATTTCTACTTAATTTGGAAAAGAAGATTCAGTCTTTTATCACAGGCCCTTTTGAAACTCAGATCCCAGGTCTCTCCGTGGTATGTTTGTATTTGGGGTGTCACCCCCGGCTCTGGGCGCCCTCTGACCCGCCGTGCACTCCCCACCTTCGGTGAGCGGCCGCCATGGTGGAGCGGGGTCCAAGCCACGTCCTGCAGGGGACGTCCGGGGCATTTCCTGTTTTGTGGTAGGAAACCTCCCTGACCTTTCAGAACTGAACCCAATCCTGAGGCTGACTCCTCTACAGAAAATGAGAGGGGAGGAGGGGGGTGAGGGAATGAGTGGGAGGTGCCCGCACCTCCTCGCCCGGCTCCTCAGGAGGAAACCGCTCACCCTTCCCGAGTGTGCCGGCCGAGGGCCGCGGCCTCAGCCTGATGCTGAGCTTTTTAATGTCATCATCGTAACATTATTTATTTAAATGTAGTTATTTTGGTATTTAATTTTTTTTTTTTTAGAGAGGAAAAAACCTGTATTTTCGTGGTGGGATGAAATTGGGATGAAATGGCTCAGAATGGTATCTTTAGGCAATTTTAAACCATTTATTATTTACATAAAGACCAAATATGGTGAATCTGTTCCGTGAACTGTGTCGGCCTCAGCGTGGGGCTGTAGCAGCGTCACTGTGGTGACAAACATTGCAAGGCATGAAATCACGGCACACTAGCTGGATGATAACTCAGCCATGTAAGAAATAAAAGCGAAACCGTCACGTGACTGAGACCGTGTGTGTGACCGCAGCAAATCGCAGTGTGTGGATGGATCAGAGCCCCTCGGTGCAGCTGTCTGCATCTTCCAAGCACTTTACAGATACCTTGGAATGTATATTTTTGTCTTACTCAGAAGGTTTGCAGTTTGTAAGATCATTAGGATTCTGCTGTATCCTGTGTGTGGAGTCAGGTCCCTCCGCAGAGGGCTGCAGCTCTGTAGGTCACAGCCGATGGGGTTCTCTGACAGGAGACCAGCTCTCGAGCTCTGAGTCAAGGAACAGCTGGGTCACCGGGGAGCTTGGCGTGGACATCAAGCAAATGCATCGTATGTCCCCTTGGAGACGTGTTTACGCAGCTGTGTATGTTACTGTCCAGGAGTCGGGGGTGGACTTCCCCATGTGAGCTCAGTCCATAAACTGGTTACTTCTGATCCTGGAACGTAGACTTGACAGGTCTGGATCTGTTTCTCCTGGGATCACAGGTAAGGAAAACGCCCAACTGTCAAATGGTAAAGAACGGAGGAGGGTTTTTTTGTTTTGTTTTGCTGTAGGCACCATTCTGCACCTTGAGGCCAGACTGAAGTGTGCCTGTCACAGATGGGAAGACGCTGCTGTCTCCTCCTCACTGCCACGCTCGCTTGGCTTTTTCATTGGTACGTAGGAATTTAGGAATACCGAGGCGAGAGCAGTAACAAAACCATAGATGAGCAGACTGCCACGGCCCGGGTTTTCTTGCCAGTCTTTAAGGCACTGTTTCTAAATCTGGAACTTAGCTCTGAACCTCCAGGGACTCAAGCACGGCAAGGGTTACTGAGCTGCTGTGGCCCCTGGTGCTGGAGCTGCGGCACCTTCCGGAGAGGTCCGGCGTCATCTCCAGCTGCGTTGCTGTGAACTCCCAGCTCTCCACTGTGTTCCTCAGTGTCTTATTTTCAGGAAGTCTCTTTGACCTTTGCCCAACTTCTGAGCTCCTCAGGGACTAGAAACAATTTCAGTAGCTTTGCCCTGAACCAAACAAGACAACAAAAGGGAACTCCCGCATGACCCACGTCACGTGGTGCCCTCGGAGTGTGTGCGGCAGGTCCTCGGGTTGCTCCTCTCGCTTCAGTAGAGTGCGCTGTGGACAGCTGATCTCCTTCAGTCGTCTGCCCACTTCCGTCAGTGTCCTCCTAGAATAACAGTAGTTGGTCATCATGGCCCTTCAGTCAGTCTGCCCACTTCCGTCACTGTCCTCGGCTAGAATAACAGTAGCTGGTCATCGTGGCCAGAAGGGGGATGCGGGCAGTGTCAGGACTTGCGGTTTCTGTGCTGTGTGACACAAGGAGATAAGTGACAATCTTAGTCCTAACGTCCACTATTCTAGAAAGTATAGTGGTGATTTATGTGCAAAGATTTGAAATTTTAAGAGTACCAAGTTCCTGAAATTCAATAAAATATTTTTATTAATTTTAATGGAATGCAGAGTATCATTTTCATTTTGCTAGACTTTTCTTTTTAACTTCATGCTCTCTTCTGAGCACACTGGAGGCCTAGCACATTGGAAGAACTCACCAGGGAGCTGCACTGAAGACCAGCAGTGTAGGCCCCACCAGCGGGACGGCGTGTAGAGTGTGCAGGCGGAAAAGGCGCCGTGTTACGGGCAGTGGTAACAGGGTCTTGATGATTTATCTATGATGTCGGAGTTTTAAAGTTACCTGGAGATCGTGGCTGTCACTGTTTCTTCTGCAGACTTTCTCTCCAACCTGAGGATGAAGATCACTGCAAAGCACCTTGAGGTACATTTTCTCAGGAAGTGAAAAAGCAGCTCGTGGCTGGGCGCGGTGGCTCACGCCTGTAATCCCAGCACTTTGGGAGGCCGAGGCAGGCGGATCACGAGTTCAGGAGATCGAGACCATCCTGGCAAACACGGTGAAACCCCGTCTCTACTAAAAGTACAAACAATTAGCCGGGCGCGGTGATGGTGCCTGTAGTCCCAACTACTCGGGAGGCTGAGGCAGGAGAATGGCGTGAACCCGGGAGGCAGAACTTGCAGTGAGTGGAGATGGCGCCGCTGCACTCCAGCCTGGGCGACAGAGTGAGACTCCGTCTCAAAAAAAAAAAAAAGAGAAACCAGCTCTTCTGAAGACGTACTTGGTCTTCAAGTACAGGAACACTTTGATCTTTCAGCCCCTGAAAATCGGGTGTGGATTGCTAATGTCTGGAATTGTGAGGACATTATCAGCACTCACCAGGGCAGCAGAGGGAAGGAATCATGCTGAAAATGACACAGAGGCCTTTGGGAGCTAAATGATGTTCACGGACAGAGAGTTCATAATGGAGTGTTTTGTTCCTTACACTGATCCCCTAATTTAAAACAGTTCATATTGGCATAAAACAACTGTTTGTCACACCCTGCGAGACTCTCTTCCAGCAGGGTGAAGCAGTCGTTTGTAATCTGTTTCTGCCAGGCCTGTGTCTGCAGTGCACCCGGGCTGTGTTCATGGGTGCTGGGAAATGGGCACTGTTTGTTGCCCCCTTTCTGAGCCATGTCCACAGCAACACAAAATGAGAATTCAGAGTGGGTCTTGGGTGACCTCTGATGACTAAACTGGCCACAGAGGTCTCCGCGGGCTCCTCCACCCTGTCTCTCCTAGGGGTTGTGACTGTGGACCCAACAGAGCAACCATCTCAGTCCTACAGCAAGTCACCCGTATGTAACACAGAACAGGCAGACCACAGCCGGAACAAGGACCGGTGTGACGGGTTTTTCCTGGGTTCTCCCCTCCCGTTGCTGGGCCTAGTCCACTGCTGAGCCTAGTCTGGGGTGGTCTATCAGAACCACACATTAGGGATGAACATTAGAATCTCCAAGAGAAGCCCCCTTCCCTCTCTTCCTGGGCAGAGAAACTCCTGGAAGCTGCAGCCCTGCAGACACAACTCCCACAGAACCCGTCACTCTGACGAGAGGAACTGGAAAACGGCTGCTCTAGTCCAAAGAGCGTGAGGGAAATCCCTGCTCCCCTTTGGCCCCAGGCTGGACCTAGTCATAGGAATGGGATCAGCACAGAGAGGCTAAAACCTGGGCTTTTAAATCAAAGGACACAGCAAAGGAGTCAGAGACCCCTAAAGCTCCAAAGGAACGGCACTGGCCTGGGGAAAACAGCAAAGGCTGCGGGAGCTCAACTCCTGTGTAGACTGGCCCCTGGGTGAACAGCACAACAGAGACTGGAAAACTAGCCTGACGCCAGAGCCACAGCTTCAGCAGGCACATGCGGTCGGCACATCCCTGGGTGACCTGCCTGCTGAGACGAAACTCAACATCCTGCAGAGGGTGTTCATGGACGTGGACTCTCCAGGTATCCAAACGTCTAGAATACAAAATTACTAAACGTAAAAAGAGCCAGGAAAATCCAACCCTAAAGTGAAAAGACCGAATGCCAACTCTCACATGACCCAAATGTTGGAAACATGAGATAAAGCACAGTGATGATAACCATGCTCTGTGAAAAAAGGGCAAATGCTCCTGAAATGAATCAAATACATGAAAAAATTCAGTGAATGAACAGAAAACGTTTGGAAACAAAAATGAACTGGGGCTTGTAGGACAAGACCAAGGGTCGAGTGTGTAAGTCACCAGATTCCTATAGAACAGAGAAACAACGTATACAAACATTTTTAAATAAATATTTTAGTCCGGGCGCGGTGGCTCATGCCTGTAATCCCAGCACTTTGGGAGGCCAA